AACGCACGATGACAAACCCAGCCTTCCTCTGTGGAATCGAATACTGGTATGGAGGGCCGTTTGGAAACTGCAAGGCATCTACTTGTAGCCAAGGAAGCATTTTTTTGGACGAACGCCATGGTGATGCTGGCCATTTAAGCTTGTTTCAGGGTGGAATGGGGCCCCGAACGTGCACAAAATAAATGCGCGTGCTCAGCCAAAGAAACTCGTCCCAGAAGGGTGTAGCGTCCACAGGCAATTATGGGGATCTATGTGTCGACCATTTTAGCCGACGGAGGCTCGTGCCATGTGAGGAGAAGGTAGCCACTGTCATCGTTCTCACCGTCAGGGCAAGAGGCAGAAGGCAGGGACCCAGGGAAGGGGTGGCTTGTCGCTTCAGTCTTGTATGGCGGCCTGCTTTTTAAAAGTTGAAGCGCTATGACTGGCACCCTTGCCTGCTGATTCACTTACTGTGTTCCCGGGGGGTTGATGTCGCTGACTTGGACGGGTGGACTCAGATCACCTTCAAGCTTTTATCCTAACAATTTTGTGTCTACATTAGCCTCAGACCACCCCAGGTTCTTCCACATCTCACCTGGCTCACACATCCTCCAACCTCAAACCTCCCTCCTTGCCGCGGCTACGTGGTGAGTCCGCCACGTTTCTTCCGAATCAAGGGTCCATGGTCCATGATACCCTTAAATCGTATGCTGTTTTGGCATGTGTGCGGGTGTGCTTTTCTTTTGGGGCTGGTTGCCCTTCGCTGCGCCACCTGCCGTGCGCGGGTCTACGCGTGCAGCCTGCGTGCGTACGCCATTCCTCAATCCTGACAATCTCGCCAAGTTCAACGAGGAATTCCAGCAGGTCTACCTCGACCGAGACATGAGCAACACTCAGGTCCGGATAGCGGCAGCTCTTGTTACCTTAGCCAGTCGCTTGCCACAAGCCACCCACTTGAGCCCATTCCTTGCCACAGGCCCCCCCTCTGCCACAACCAGCCGGCGCACCTTCTAAGGTTATTTTCCAGTAGCCCGGGGCCACCCAGTGTTTGCCTCACCCTTGTGATCAGCATTGTCAGGATCAAATGCCTCGCATGATGTGTTCGCGTGCTGTCACTAAACGCTGACCTCAGGGTACTCAGGTGCCTGACTAAGGATTTGACAGTACTCATGGTCGGTCCGGCGCCAATAACTGATTTGGGCACAAGCTAGGCCACTGATGGTAGTCAGCGTCAACCCCGGCACTAAGGGGCCCATCGTATGCTCAGGAATACTGAGCTCATTCGTTGCAGGCGTCAAGTCATGGTGACAGTTCTTTTTCTTCCCATGCTATGCTCCACTGGTCCATCATCATCCTCTTGCGCAGAATGCCGGGGCCTTTCTTGACCAGCTTCACGGTGTTCAACTGCGATGACCTGTCTGCAGGCACACCTTTCCGGTGTGGAAATGATCGCTGTTGGCTTTGCAGTTGTAGCTTTGCAAGCCGTCCCAGGACCTGCAGCTGCATGAAGATCATGTTTGCAGTTGCATGAATATCATCATGTTGTGCACACGCACATTTTTTTAGCATTTTTGTCGCTGGCCTTTGTTGCTGCAGCTTGTTGCCAACTTGCGAGGGGGGGAAAGAGAAACAAGCCAACTGTGTGCGCGATTGTCGCTGCAGCTTCTGATTGCTGGCTGCCCGCTCTGGGCTGCCGTTCTTTGCTGCTCCTGATTTCTCAGCTTGGGCAGATCATTCGGGCAGGGCCATTTCTATTGCACATACAGACATACTTGTTTTTTTCTGAGGCAGCCTGGTTCTCATGTCAAGTCCATTCAGCTTGCAATGCTTGCGTCAAGCTTCTCGGCAAGGCAGCTGCAAGGGAGTCAGTCAGAGCGCGGACTGTGCTCAGCTGCACTCATTTTTCCGTTGCAGCATTCATGTGCTCGCTCAGGCTGCAGCTGGCCACTGTTCAGGGGCATGTAATCTCATGACTTGATGAATGCAACGAATGTGCTCAGTATTCCTGAGCAATCCTTAGCACGATGGGACCCTTAGTGCCGGGTGATGCTGAGGACCGTCAGTGCCGAAGCTTGGGCCAACATCAGCACTGCCGCACCGATCCTGAGTACTGTCAGCTCCTTAGTCAAGCACCTGAGAACGGCCCTGATCAAGCACTTCCCTGAGGTCAACGTTTAGTGACAGCACGCGAACGCATCAATCGAGGCATGTGGTCCTGACAATGCTGATCGCAAGGGTTGGGCAAAGACTCCGCAAAGGGAGGCCTGTGGCAGGCAATGGGCTCAAGTGGATCAAGCCGCTGGTTAACGTAGCTATCCGGACCTGAGACCATCCCTTCATAACTAAGGCTGAAACACACACTCCAAGGCATGGTCTTGATTTTTGGATTCCAACTTCAACCCTTAATGATACGAAGTCCTGGTTATCAAGGAGTTGGTCTTCTGGCCATCCAGGAGCTAACCAATTCACAAGCAAGATTTTCGGGAACTGCGCTGATAGTAACTGCCGGGCTCATAAGAAACCCACAGCCATGCAACATAAGTTAGTCCACGCGCGCGGTGTTAATCGGTCACTGTGGTGGCTGCTGCAAATCCTTCATTGTAGTTATTGGAATTACACGGAGTTTTCATGAGCAAGTTCGTAATCAAGCGAAGCAAAGGTCATCAAAGGTTCCTCACTCGTGACGGTTACTTCCAACATGGGTGTTTACCACACACGCAACAAGTTGAAGCTGGTTCCCCCGCCTGGGGCCGCGTCCTGTCGTCCAAGAGGTGCACCCCGAAAGAAACAGAATCGCACCTTCCGGTGCTTGAGGGGCCCAGACCTGACCTGCACCTTTCGGTGCTTTTTTGCACCTTTCGGTGCTTATTATCATAGGCACCTTTCGGCTTTCGGCGCACTAGTTTTCAAGACCCGCCAGGACGCCTTCTGACAAACAAGGTGCGTGCTGACGCTATGATCATGCCAGGACGCCATGCCAAACAAACCCAGAACTGTTGTCTTCAAGCAGCCCCATATCACAAGTATCGTCATGCCTACTGCTGAGCAAGCCAACCTACAATGACTGTTTGCCCGGCCCCCCCCCCTCCCTGCCACTGATGCAACTGACTGACGTTGTGCTGACACGGTTTGGGGTATCTAAAAAAAGCGTTGAACGTTGTGTCCAAGAAACCATCAACTGCCGAACAATGAAAAATGAAGCCAGGCCCCCCACATGTATGTAGTATGAACTGTTTGATCCACAAATCACGCTTGAGATTCCTTTGGAGAGCCTCTTTGGGTGTTGAGGAGGTTGGGCGTCCTCAGTGGGTTTGTGATGAGCTTTGCCCAGGACAAGGAATGTGCTGATATGTCTTGCAATTGTTTAGAAATGGTCAACTTCAACACTTCCACAGTATATCAAATTTTGTTAATGTAGCCGTCACGCACCAACTATTCAATATAAAAATTAAATTTGTTTATAATGCAAACTTGGTTCCTACACAGGTTATATTTACATTACACATTTATACATACAAACATAAATGTTTGTATCCAAAAACCGTTGTGTGCAGCAAAACAAACACAAGAAGCTATAGTTCATAAATACCATGTTTTCCATGCTTTAAATCAAAGGTGAAAGCAAAACACCACAAACAACACAAATGGCCAGACAAAAAACCCAACCTAGCCAGGCAGACCCGCACACCCGCTCACACGCTACGTCAGATCTCCGCGCGCGCTGGCACACCCGCTTGCGCGCATCACGTCAGAGCTGCGCGCACGCTGGCGCATGATACTCACCATGACGTCGAGCTGCGCGCGCCTTGGCGCATGACGAGCACTCCCGCTCACGCGCATCACGCACCCTGGCGCGTGATAAGCGCACCCCATGACGCCTATCACGTCAGAGCTGCGCGCACTCTGGCACATGATAAGCACTCTTGCTCACGCGCATGACGTCAGAGCTGCGCGTGTCTTGGCGCATTTCGAGCATTCTCGCTCACGCGCGTCACGCGCGCTGGTGCATGACAAGCACACCCGCTGACGTCAGAGCTGCACGCGCGCTGCACATGATAAGCGCATCCGCTAAGTGCCATGTACGCTGACTTCGTCCAACATTGCACATGTCGACCTGAGATCTAGCTAGCGTGAGTTAGTTGCCGGGATGTCCCACAACCCCAGATACATGCATACTTGTCAAACTGCCTGAGAATCCACGCAAGAGCTCCGAGGGCATTCGCAAAAACGCGCGTGTGACTATGTGCCCGGCGCGTGCTTAAAACCCTTTCGCTCAATTCGACAAGTCGGTCAACATCTTTACTTAGAAGCAAAGAGAAAAGTCTTTTACCAGATGTAGGCGTGACACGGAGAGCGTCATGATCGTAACTTCTTACTTGTGTGGTTTCAGCGCAGATGTGACAGCTGCCCAAGCTCTCTCACTGGTTCCATGGGCTGTCCTTCAAGAAAGAGGAGGGGTGGGAAGACTTCTGGCCCTCTTCCCGGGTCTTTCTTTGGGCTTCCGGGGCATGCGTTGCGCGCAACAAGCTTCTGCTTGCTGTGAATTTTGTGGCAGGCACGCTTTTGCAAGGTCGACGCAGATGGCAGCGCTTTCGCAAGGTCTGGCGCAGATTTCATGGCAGGCGCAGCAGTGGCAGAGCATCGCAAACAATCGTTGGCAAGGGAGGAGTTGGATTAATAGATTTTACGAGAGATAGACGGCTATAGATCAAGGTGTGGACAGACTGAGAGATCGACAGCTGGACAGGTAGAGAGATAAACAGAAAGCAAAGGAGAAAGAGAAAGAAAAGACAGGAGAAAGAGAAACACAGAGACTATAGTTCTTGTAGTTTTGAGGCTTCCGCCAACCGGCTTCGCCGTCCCTTCTGGTAGGTGGACTTTTTCCTCGCCCTGCTGCTTTCTTTCGCTGACCCAGCGATAGCCGCCGCGCGTGTTGCTTTGCCAGGGCAGGGGCAACACCCAGGACATGTGAATGGCAGAAAACAAGCGCGGACGACTTGCGGGGGCGGGGAGTGCCGGCGAGCATTCTGACTGACGCTTCAGCAGAGGACGCAGAAAAGTGAGGCGCAGCTCAAATGTTCATATGTTGCTTTTGTTGCGCAAGGTTAAAGCGTCAACGGCTCGTTCAATGATTCTGCCCTATCCGGACTGTATTTGCACGCATGTGGGGGTCTTGGGGGATTACATGTGCAGGTTTCAATCATGTCAGAAATGTAGTGTGGAGCGCGTGTCTGTTCCCAGTCTCATAATTTGTCTCTTGTTGTTTCTCGTCTTTGTTTCTCTCGTTCACTCTCTCTCTCTCTCTCTCTCTGTGTCCGCCTCTCCGCAGCCGCCTCCTTTAGGCGTTGCGACCATGATCAGTGTGGTTTGCGTTTACACGGAAGATGCGAACGCAAAGGGCCACAATTTGGGCCCGCTTCCACTCCCCGGCCCTTGCGTTCTCTAGGTTTGCCTCAGCTCTTTCAGGGCAGTCGAAAGGTAAATTTCAGCAGGGTGGGCGGAGAGAAAGGTTCACATATTTTGGTTGGCGCAAGTGGAAGTTGATGAGTTCCGGTCAACAAAGCCGCGCTTCGCTCATTGCCTTTCTTGGCGGCTCAGCCGGCGGGATTCGTTTGTTCATTGTTTTGTTGAGGATGAGCTGCTGCCACAGCTGCTTGGTTATTAGCACGTATCTCGCAAAGCGCAGCTGGAACAGAAGATTGCCGCAGCCATTCTTTCGTGCAATGACGAGAGGCTTTGCGCCGTGGCAGAAACGATTGGGCTTCGCGCCTCCGCTGTTTAAGGGAAAAGGCTGTCACCTTGGAGGACATGTTTCTTGCCATTGGTGGATTTCTGGGAGTGGAAGTCCATATGTAAGGTTGTGGCTCGACGGAACGCTTCGTAGCAAACGCAGAAGCCTCCAATTCTATGCAAGGTGCGTATGAGCAAAGGCGGTAGCGTGTGAGGAGCAACATTGCGAGAATGTTCTCCAAGCATCGCATCTTGTTGATGCTTAAGTTTCATGATGGCTTGCAAGATGCGAAGCCACAAGCGTGCAGTTTAACACGTTCCCAAAAAAAGACAGTGCTAAGGGCCATAGGGATGCACTGGCCGGTCGCTTGCATCAAAGAAGCGGAGGGTTACATAGACACTGGAGCGGCGAGCCCAGGGCGACCAACATTTGGCGGTTGCAAGGAAAGGCTTGGAAGCTGCAACGCATCTCTGTTCTGATAGATGACCCCAAAAGCTACCCGGACAAGGACAATGCACGAACAACACTCGATGCCCGCTGGCGCGAAGCTACGCACAAGGCGCAGAAGGCAGCTGGCGTGTTTGTGTGATTCCTAGAGATGTTTTATCTACTCATGGTGTGTCTCAACAAAATCAAACTTACATTTTGCGATGAGTATGTAATCGGGGTTTGCTTTCCGCGACAGGTTTAGGTATGGCTTTTTGGACGCGCGCTTGAGCCCTAAGAACTGAGACGCGCAGCCCTTTTACTTGCGCCCTTGACGCCCTGCCCGTGCTGGGGCGTGTCCGCAGTCAACGCGTTGGCTGGGCCACGCTGGAGCAAGTTTCGTGAGAGATCCACGAAAGACCGGAGAAAGTGCAATGGAGCTTGTTGCAAGGTTCCGCGCATTGCGTCCAAGACGCATGCCCCCGGCAACCGCAAGCGGCATGTGCATGGTACTGAGCGTCAGGTCTGCCACTTTGGCGATGAAACCCTGCTTGATCGGACTGCTAGTTTGCCTCGCGCCAATCGCTGTCTGTCAACGTGTTCGCACGCTCTGCTTGCTTACTTCACGGACCGGACGCGAGCAGAAGCCTGGAGAGCCGCCCGAAGTGACTATTCTGTCGAGCTGGCTTTTTAAGCCATGACTTTTCCAGGGCAGAGGGGTCCGTCAGGCAAGGGATCGCGTGACTGCAGGTTGGGGCTAGGCCGACATCGGTTCGGCGAGCCATCCTTCTGGCTATGACCAAAACACCTTTCCGCGACCTTGCATCTCGACTTGTCGACGCAGTGAACTTGCCACTGTCAAGCGTAAGCGTGCAGTTGTTTGAAACGCCCCGCAAGATGAACCCGAACGTGTACCTAAGCCACCTTCAGAGGAGCACCCTCATGCGCGTGGACAGCGCGGCCAGGTACTTTTGGCGCTGGCGCATAAAGCAGATAGGTCAGCGCGAGGGCTGTTTGGGTAGGACCTTTTTCTCATCTTCAGAGGCTACTCACCAAGGCGGCGCTAAGTTGAAAGGCCTGCTTGTCTTCAACTCTAGCTTGCGTGGAGGCCTTCTTTTGAACCAAACTGTTTGTCCATCACATCAATTACATGCATACGTCCCTTACATCAGAGCCCACCTTTTCATCAAGAATGCGGCCAATGTGCTCATTCTTGGACGGACAATGTCCGGGCAGGGCCAGTGTACCACCTTTCAGTGAAGTGAGCCGGAGTTGTCAGGTCTTTGATGATGGCGCGCAGGCAGCTCACCAGGCCATTTCTGGAGCCACAACAAGCGGCTCTGTGGTTGGTGGAGTTGCATTGGAGCCAAACATCTTCCAGTTCAATGTGCTGGTCGTCGGGCGCGCAACGTATTTCGTGGAGGGAGGCGGCGAAGACTCTTTGCTCACTTTGAGGCCGGGGACCCCTTCTCGTTGCGCGGCGGGAGTTCACGTAGGGCCAATCTTGGGTGCCGCAAGTTGGGCATTGACCTGGACAGGCTTCAACCGCAGTGGCAGTCAAAGCAGTCTCAACATGTCTTCGGATGCTTTAGTGACCATGGCGCGGCGCATTCGCCCTTAACTCCAAGCTGGTGGAGAATATCATTGCCTCGTGCCCAGACGGAGCTCCGCTACATGGCGAAGAGGCATGACAATTAGTGGCTGGCCCTCATTTCTTATTTGGACCAGAAACGCAATTGAACGGATCGGTTGAGCTGTCACGAGCAAAGCGTCTGTCATGCTGGATCAATGCTCCCGTTTTGCAGGCCTTCGCGCCCTTGCCTGCTAAAGTGTCTGGAAGAAAGAATGTCTGGGCGCTGCCTGACTGGAAAACATCATGCGCAGCACAGCCGGCAGCTGTGGCACAGCTCAGGTGCGCGCTGTGCTTGCAAGGCGGCTCCGGATCGCAAGTTGCCAGCAAAAGGGCGCGGCGATGGAGTCGCAGATCGGTCGCGCAATGGTTTTTGTTTCGCGAGGACGGAGAGGCCCGGAAGCAAGAAAATTACCCAATCCCACGCGCAGGGGCAAACGCGATTACCATGTTGCAGTGCTGCGGCCAAGGATGGATCCAAAACTATTTGCGCGGTTGCAGTGTCTGCTTGGATCGCAGCCCGCGCCTTGTATCTGAGGGAGGGACACTAGTTGGCCAGCAAAAAAGGTCAAAACTGCCGACGGTTTCTCTATCGGTTTCAGCCTGGTCGGAGTCCCTTTGTGGCAGTTTTTGGTTTGTGGCATTGCGCGGATGGCTGGCAGTGCCATTTCACAAGGACCAATCGCGCGGGAAGTTTGTGCTTCTGCTGCTCAGGCGCCGCCATTCTTTTCTTCAGCCACGCTCCGGAGGATGCAGCTTGTTCTTGAAGCCAGCACGCCTGCAGCAAGAGAATGATTGAACAGGCTGCGTTGGCACTGGATCTGCTGGATGAGTGCTAAGCCGAACGAATAGACTATTACTGCTTTGACGGGTGCAGTTTGACTTCTGTTAGTTGTGGCGCAACGAAAGGAGTACTGCGCGCGGCTGATTCACAACCCCGGCTCACCCCAGCAGATTCTTCGGGCGCTGTCCAAGGCCCACGGTATGAGAAAGGCGACCCTACGGCATCCTTCGGCAAATTTTATCCCGCAAGCTTTGCAATGTGTTCTTGGTTTAAGGTGCACTGCGCTTGGCGGCAACAAATCCCAGCGCAAGAAGACATGCCGCATTTCGTGAGTCCATTTCAGAAGGATGTTTTACACATGTATGTAGTTGCAAGCCACCAAGTAAACCCAGAAACCAGAGAGCCTTTCAGTTGGCTAGCGTTGAAACACGCGAAAGCACACGAATGCAAGCCGATCCGCCAATCCAGGTGATTCTGGTTTTGCAATTTCAGGTTGTGTTTCTGCAAGTTGGATGCTAAACAATCTGATAGATCTCCATGCGTTCAGAACTACATGAGGCTTCTGAGCGCTTTCAGTCGGAGAATGCGTTCTATTTCTCCTTCTACAGGCCCGGCAGCTGGCGAATCGTATTGCCGTTGTGTTAGTGTGCTCGTGCGCAGGCAATTTTGCATCAACAGGCGGAATGAAGTTGCACCCTTGCGATGTGGTTTGTCACCGGCCTTGCGATGTGGTTTGTCGTCAGTCCTGATTGTACTTCTGTTCCGCCCGTGTCTCTCCCCAAAAAGAATCACCTGAAAGAAGCCATGAGCCCAAATGCAGATGCTGGTTGACATGGTTTTTCTATCCGTCCATCTACCTGCCGAGTCATCCATGCGTTTATTGGCGCGGCTGCTTGTCTACCTCTCAATCTGTCTATTTGTCTAGCTGTCTGTCCATCTACCTATCTTTACAGTTGTCTACTTACCTGCCTACCTAGCTATCTATCGATCTATCCAAACTAACCTAATCTAAACTATCCCAGTCTGAGCTATCTGTCGATTAAACACACACACACAGACACACACACACACAGACACACACACACACACAGACACACACACACACAGACACACACACACACACACACACACACACACACACACAGACACACACACAGACACACACACACACACACACACACACACACAACACACACACACACAGACAGACAGACAGACAGACAGACAGACACAGACAGACAGACACACAGACAGACAGACACAGACACACACACACAGACACACAGACACACAGACACAGACACAGACACAGGACACACACAGAACACAGACACACACACACAGACACACAGACACACAGACCCACAGACACACAGACCCACAGAACACAGACACACACAGACACACAGACACAGACACACAGACACACAGAGACAGACACACACAGAC